AGTGAAGGCTCCAAAACACACAACACACACAGACTACTAGTCAAAAGTGTGGACACACCTGATTTAATGCTTTTCTTTATTTTTGTGACTATTTACATTGTAGATTCTCACTGAAGGCATCAAAACTATGAATGATCACGAATGAAATTTTGTAGTAAGCAAAAATGTGTGAAATAAGTCAAAAGACACTATATTTTAGATTCTTCCAAATAACCACCCTTTAGCTTTCATTACTGCCTTACACACTGTTGGCATTCTCTTGATGAGCGCTAACTAACTACTGAGTTAGTCACCTGAAATGGTTTTGCAGCAGTCTTGAAGGAGTTCCCAGGACTGGTCCTTTTGCCTTCACTCTGCAGTCCATCTCATCCCACACCATCTCGACTGGGTTTAGGTCAGGTGATTGTGGAGGCCAGGCCATCTGGCGCTGCACTCCATCATGCTCCTTCTTGGTCAAACAGCCCTCACACAGTCTGGAGGTGTGTTTAGGGTCATTGTGTGTTAAAAAATAAATGATGGTCCAACTGAATGCAAACCATGGGATGGGATGGCATGTTGCTGCAGAATGCTGTGGTAGCCATGCTGGTTCAGTGTGCCTTCAATTTTGAATAAATCCCCAACAGTGTCACCAGCAAAGCACCCTCACACCATCACACCTCCTCCATGCTTCACGGGTTACTCATCAGACCAAAGCACAGATGTCCACTGGTCTAATGTACATCCCTTGTGTTTCTTGGTCCAAACAAAGTTCTTCTGTAGAGATGTGTCTGCTACTGGAACTCTGTGTGGTATTTATCTGAGGTGCTGTTAACTTGTGATTTCTGAGGCTGGTGACTCAGATGAATTTATGACTCTTGGTCTTACTTTCCTTGGGCAGGCCTCATGTGAGCCAGTTTTGTTGTAGCTCTTGATGGTTTTTGTGACTGCACTGGAGGACACATTAAAAGTTTTTAATTTTCCAGGCTGACTGACCTTCAATTCTTGAAGTAATGATGGACTGCCACTTCCCTTTACTTAGCTGATTGGTTCTTGCCATCATATGGATTCTAACCGTTGTCAAAAAGGGCTGTCAGCTGTGTACCAACCCGACTTCTGCACAACACAACTGATGGTCCCAACCCCGTTACGAAGGCAAGAAATTCCACAAATGAACCCCGACAAGGCACAGCTGTGAAGTGAAAACTATTTCAGGTGACTACATCATGAAGCTCATTGAGAGAAGGCCAAGGGTTTGCAGCACTGTCAACAAAGCAAAGGGTGGCTACTTATAGGAATCTAAAATATAAAACATATTGAGAGTTTTTTTTTCCTTTGCTACATAGTTCCATATACCTTCATTCATTTATTCATTTATCCAGAGTAGAAGTTTATTCCCACTGCCAGAATAGTCATAAAGCAAGCCAAATTTATTTCAAAAAAATGTTTCAAAATTGTTTCT